GAGGATTGAACTCAGGCCCTTGCGCTTGCCAGGGAAGCATTTATTCCACTGGGCCATCTCCCCGACCCCTACAGATGCTTATTTTGTGCTAATCAGTTTTGTGATATTTTAAACTAAACTTCTTTACTCATTCTAAGAGCCCTCTAAAATACTAAGACTATTTAAAAAATAATAATAATAAAATAAAATACTAAGACTATCATTACTCTTCCCCTAATTAAAATAAGATATCTGAAAAGCTAAAAGAATGAACAATGTTCCCAATCTGAAACAGCTGACAGAATCATCAGAACATTAGTTCAAAAATTTTGGCTTCCTAATTTGTCCCCCTAACCCTCTCATTTTATGTGGACCTTGCTGGTTATTTTCACACAGATGTAAAACTCTAAATGTCTTATTACTCAGTATCAAGACATGAATCATTAGGCTATCTGTGATTATGAGTTTTATTTGTTGCTAACTTATAACTTTAAATAAATAGAATTGTTATAACTTATCATAAAACAGCTCACAAAAAATCTTAAGATTATCTACTTGTTCCAGAATCCAAAGTTTAAGTAAGTCACTCCTGAGACAACAAACTGCCGTAGACACTGAAATATTTGAATCACACCTCATGATCACCAAGACAACCATGTAAAAATACAATATAAATGTAATCTTCAACATACTGCTCAGAGCTTTGAAGATGAAACACTGGATGTTTCAGAAGCAATGACATAGAACAGGAGTATCAAAGATAACTACTTAAGGTAACTTTTTTCACAGATACAACTCTAAAGTTATCCACCAAATCAATATGTATATTATAAATAAATTTATTTTACAAATTTAAGATATGCTATTATTCTACTGTTGAAAATTGATATTGTTGAATATTAGATTTCATTTATAACATATTCACTACACAGAGAAAAGTATCTTAAAATACATTTTCTGATTTACAGATCTTATAAATTTTCTTCCTTTTCATTGACAACTACAATTATGTCTATTTATGTGGTAGAAAATGATGTTTTGAAGCATGTATTCAGTGTGGAATGGCTAAATATAGCCAAGTTATAACTGCATTATCCCACATAATTCTCAATTTTCAGTTGGAACATGTAACATACAATTTCCTTGCATGTTTTAAGAATACAATATGAAATCAATGGTTATAGTCACTGTACTATACAGCAACTCTCCGTGATGCTGCAGGGACAGTGGAAGCCAGGACAGCCCCATGTGCAGGAGCTTCCCAGACCCAGTATCCATTCTGTGGACTGCGCAAGATCCAGAGGCTGAATGTGGAAACCCTCTCTGCTCAAGGTGAGGCACAGTAGAAGCAGCTCTTGGGAAACTGGGTGCCTGGGTTGGTTCAATAATTTGAAATAGGTAAAAGAAGAAAACTTGATCTTGTTTGGACTGATTTCTTTGAAGTTTGAGAGTAAGTACATTTCTTCAAAACTACTTTTTATCTAATCTATCGAGAATGTTTATTATCTAAAAGAACCTAAAACTATTTTTGACGTGTAATTTCATATATTATAAGCAAACAAAAATATAGGAAAAAACACACATTGATAGGAAAATGAAGAATGGAAATGTTTTGCGCTTGAGAATTGTAAAGCTGATATTTTTAATCTACTTGTGAATCTTACTGTGGATATTAAAAGCATTTGAAGATTTCTTATGTCAGGTTTTTGGGGTTTTTTTTACAATATTTATTTATTTATTTTGTGTCTGTGTGTGGCCAGCTCAGCCCACCAGGGGGCAGGGCTGGCTGGCATGTGGTGCTGGGGGATTGAACCGCAGTCCCTGTGCTTTGCTTAGCTTAGCTTAGCTTGTTCTAAGTAGGTGCTCTAGACCACTGAGCCATATCACCAGCCCCTCTTATGTCAGTTTTAACACACAAAAGAGAAACAGTTATCCTTTCTTGAAATAATATTTATATTCTATTATGATAATTATTAAGAAATAATATCATGGGAAAAATTTTTAAAGAATTTTAGGGGCTGGGGAGATGGCTCAGTAGAATAAGTGCTTCCCTGGCAAGGGCCTAAGCTCGCTCTCCAGTTCCAAAAAAAAAAAATAATTTTAGTTCTTGTTTTACCTGAAGGTGTTTTTTTTTGTTTGGCTATTTCGTTGTTGTTGCTTTGGATTACAGGATCTCGCCTCACAGCTAGGACTCATAGTCCTCCTCCTATCTCAGCCTCCCCAGCACTGGGATTACAGGAGTGCACTAACACACCTGGCTGCAGGGCCAATGAGGTGTGCCCAGGGTTCTGGCTCCTGAAAGGCATACAGTACTGGGGATTGAACTCGGGACCATGTGCTTGTCAGGCAGGCACTTAGGCTTCCGAGCTCTATCCCCAGCCCTGAAGCTGTTTTATTCTTAACTTAGGTTAAATTTCATGTAGCAAAATCAGTTTTGATTTATCAAAATCAATTTGAATTACTCTGTATTTATTTTATTGAGAAACAAATTATTTTGTTATGAAAATCCATCTTAATTTTAAATTCTGGAAAAAATTGTATTCACTTACTATGTTCAGAACCATTTTGATAGAATTCTAATAGTTTGCAACAGTTAGATACTTAAGTTGGCCAACAGCAGAGCCAAAATTTATATCACGATTTTTGAAAAGCTTATTCTAACACTATCACCACATATCACTCTACAAAAACTTATGTGAATTAATGCATTTTATTAGGTTGTAAATGTGTCCAGGTTCAAACCATGGTCACCATTTAATGTCTCTGCTGTGCTCCAGTGCAGCAGTGAGCTGTCATGATAAATAACCAAGGTGATGTTGCTGCATACCCTGCACACAGAGAAAATAAGAATGCTTCCATTTATTTTCAGCAAAATGTTTTTCTCAGTTCATTAAACTACCTTATGAAGTTATTATTATTGACCAAAAGAGATGCACATATCTAACAAATGTAAATCAGTGAGCTTGGAGACAACAGTTTACCTGAGAAAGCATCACCACACTTCATGTCATGACTTTCTCCAATAATTCTAAATGGTCTCGGTCACTCTGTCCTTTCCCCTTGTGATAAGAGCAACAAACACAGAGACCATGCTTCTAGCCACGCTTAATTTCAGAGTCCAGTATGAAGTGGCATTTTCAGGACGCGGTTTGTCCCATGAGGTGAGAAGGTACTACCCTACACAGGGACAGGCCCACGCCAGAGGGCCACTGATCACCTGTCGGTGTACCCAACATGGTCTGAGATGCTCCTAGAACTAGAAGGCCTGGCACCCCTGTAGATGCTGAGCTTATGAGTCCTTCAACAGAGATTAGTTTTAAATTATTTTTCACTAAGCTGAATAAATGCAACATCTGTTACTATGTAGATAAATCCACAGACTTTCTCATTCATCTGTCTCCTCTTATCACTCCATTTAAGTAACTTCACAACATAGTCTTAATAATTTTTCTAAAAAGCTAAGTACAAATTTGAACTTTTTCATCATTATTCATAGCGTAACTTTCCACTGATTAAAAAAAGTGTATTTATTATGTACTTATGTCATGCTTTATGGGATGTTCAGCTGCATTTTATTTGTGTAGAAACAGGTGTGATGTCTGCCTCCTCACAGTTCTTAGACTAGCACTGGAGAGAAGCGTGTTCAGTGCTCACCAACAGGTTGCAGGGTTACGGTTTATCCTCCCTGTAACCCCTGCAAGTGTGCTCGATACGTCCCAAGGCTTCTTTGAACCTCCCAGGTTTACTCTTCACCCTGGCACTGGCATTCCTATCACCCCACATTACGATGAGGAGCTGAGCTCAGCAGTGCTGTGCCCCCTGCCTGGGTCACACAGCTGAAGGGAATGAGATGAATTGAGAATAGAGACTCCTACGCTCTGTGCAACAATGGCCCTCCCCGACAGTGCCCCATCCAGGACGCAGATGCGAAGCATAAAGAAAGGATGGATTACGGTGTGCCTCTTTGGGTAGGAAGCATTTAGGAAGGGATCCACGATGAGGGCAGCTGTGCAGCATGCCGTGAAGGCACCCACAGCTTGGTGGAGCTGACCTCTGGCGAGCTGTGCAGAGAGTAGGTCTGCCAAGGAGCTGAAACCTATGGGGCCTCCCAGGACACACAAGGGCAGAGCATTTCTGAAACAGAGAGGGGAAAGCAGTCTTAAAGTCAGATAAGAGTTCAGAAATAATTTTTCTTCCCATTTACCAGCATTAATGAGAAGGATAGTTGAGGATGGAAGTGGTGAAGAGGACAGGGATGAAGGCCAGATCTCTTGCATGATCGGGAACCTCAAAGTTGCTGTACTAAGATGTGGAGAAAAAGGAGTCCTGTTTCCCTCATTCTGAACTTTAACAAAGATTTAGATGTTGTAGGTGAGTTTGCCAATGAAGGAAGAAAGTATCTTTTTTGAGAAAGAGTATCTATATTAAAATGAGTTAGCTTTATGAAAAATCAGAGTCACATTATTTTCCAAGAAACTAAAACTTACTGGGGGCTGGCAAGATAGATCAGTGGTCTAAAAGGCCAGCATAGACAAGCTTAGGCAGGCACAGGGGACTATGACTTGACCGCCAGCAACACATGCTGCACAGCCCTGCCTTCAGGGCAGGCTGAACAGGCCAAAAGAAGAAAAAAGAAAAAAGAAAAAAATGTACGTGTTTGAGAATGCAGATCCTAAACTTAAAATTGAAATTTCCAAGGTAAAACATGCATCATCACAAAGAAATCAACCAATAATGACAGATTGACAATTATTTATATTGTTATCTATTAATATTTTTCAATTACTAACATACATTCTCTCATTTTATTTCTGTATTCCTTGATATTATAATTCATGGTGACAAATTTTCTTTCCTCTTTTTTCTGTTCATCTTCCTACCTGTCCTTTCTTTTCCTCATCTCCTCCTCTCTTGTCATAATTCTGCTTCTTTCTTCTCTTCCTTCTTCCTTCCTATGTTTTTGTCTCCCTCTTTTTTCTTGTCTGTTTCTCTTCAGTTCAGAGTTTTGGTGTCAAAAAATCATGCACCAGAGCAATTATAGTACTCTATATGGTTTCATTCTGCTTGGCTTCTCTGACCATCCCAACCTGGAGCTGATTCTGTCTGGAGTTGTTACCATCTTCTACTTCGTCACACTAGTGGGCAACTCAGCCATCATTCTTGCCTGTAAAAAGGATTCCTGCCTCCACACACCAATGTACTTTTTCCTCAGGAATCTATCTTTCCTAGACCTGTGTTTCACAACCAGCATTGTCCCTCAGATGCTAGTGAACCTGTGGGGACCTGAGAAGACCATCAGCTATGCAGGCTGCGTGATTCAGCTCTATGTGTACATGTGGCTGGGCTCTGTTGAGTGTCTTCTCCTGGGTGTCATGTCCTATGACCGCTTCACAGCTGTCTGCAAGCCCTTGCATTATTTGGTAATCATGAGCCCACATCTGTGTCTCAGAATGATTGTGGCAGTCTGGAGTATTAGTTTGGTCAATTCTCTTATATTGTGCACACTCACCCTGAACTTGCCTAGATGTGGAAACAAACTTCTGGATCATTTCCTGTGTGAATTGCCCGCTATGGTCAAGATAGCTTGTGTAGACACCACAACAGTTGAAATGTCTGTTTTTGCCTTGGGTATAGTCATTGTCCTCACACCCTTGACCCTTATTCTTATTTCCTATGGATTCATTGGCAAAGCTGTGGTGGGAATGAAGTCAAAAGCAGGACAAAGAAAAGCAATGAATACCTGTGGATCTCATCTCAGTGTAGTGACCATATTCTACGGCACTATTATCTACATGTACCTGCAGCCAGGTAGCAGTGCCTCCAAAGACCAGGGAAAGTTTGTCACACTCTTTTATACCATCATCACTCCAAGTCTCAATCCTCTCATTTACACCCTGAGGAACAAAGACATGAAGAATGCACTGAAGAAGCTGGTGGGCTTTTCACTGTGAATCTGCAAAAAAGAAGAGGACCTGGAGTCGACCAAGAACTAATAGAGTGAATAGGACAGTGGCATGTTTTCTCATTTTCTTTATTTTTGACTGGTATAAGTAATCCTTACATCACAAACTTGAATTAACATAATAATTATTCTACATAAATGCTGTAATGTAGGCATTGGTTTAATAATCCTACTTAGATTTTATGCCTCAAATCAATGGCTTATCTCAGGGGAAAAGGTCATAAGTGATTTTTAGTTTTGCTTGACCTATGACAGAGTATGTAAACATATATAAGTACATTTGCTTTATTTAAAATTCTCTTAATATTGTTTTGCTTACTCATGCTATTTTATTTTATTTAGCTGTTTTGTTTTATACTCTGGATTAAGCCCAGGGTCTTTATACTCAGTTACAACCTCAACATATATTTAATTTTTTTTTTTTTTTTTTTTTT